GAATGAAGCTAATTGGGAATGGCACAGAAAGCTCAACCACTTAAACTTCAAGACTATCAATCAGCTTGCAAAGAAGAATCTAGTAGAAGGCTTGCCAGATATTATCTTCAAGAAGGACCAAGTGTGTGATGCATGCCAACGCGGAAAGCAAATCAAATCATCATTCAAATAAAAAACACACGAGTCAACGTCAAGACCGCTAAGCTTACTACATATGGACTTATTTGGACCGGTTGATCCAATAAGTGTAAGTGGTAAGAAATATACTCTCGTTGTTGTTGATGATTTTTCCAGGTACACTTGGACCGTGTTTATCAAGAAGAAAAATGAAGTTGAGCAAGTACTACCGAAGCTGTTGAAGCAACTACAAAATGAGAAAGAATTGCAAATATCAAAAATACGAACGGATCGCGGAACCGAGTTCGTGAATGGAGTTATACAAGCTTTTTGCAATTCACATGGAATTTCTCATCAATTATCTGCCGCAAGAACACCGCAGCAAAACGGTGTTGCCGAAAGAAGAAACCGGACGCTCAAAGAAGCCGCACGAGTGATGATTAGTGTTGCCGGTCTCCCGAAACGATATTGGGCGGAAGCTATCAACACTGCTTGTTACACGCAAAATCGAAGCATGATCCATAAGCAGTACAAGAAGACGCCATATGAGCTATATAAAGGGAGAAAACCAAATATTGGTTATTTTCATATTTTTGGATGCAAATGCTTTATTCATATTAATGATAAATTGCATCTAAAAGCTTTTGATGAGCGTGCAGATGAAGGAATTTTTCTAGGATATTCAGCTACCAGCAAGGCGTTCAGAATTTTGAATAAAAGATCAATGGTAGTTGAAGAATCCATACACGTGGTATTTGATGAAAAATCACAGATCAAAAATGATGCACTGGACGAAGAAATTGCTCAAAATGGTAACAAGTGTCATATTGATTTTTGTGATACTAATGATACGTGTGAAGATGATGTTTTGCAGAGAATGGATGAGTTGGAAATTAATTCTCTAGAAAATCCCATCCCTCACCCAGAAGAAGTTGGAAATTCTTTAAATAATAATTTTGGGAGTGATGCCTCACGTGGGAATGGAGATGCAGTACAAGTTGGTGATCCAATTAATGATCAAATTGCATGTGATGTTGGTAATCAATTTCAAGACAATTTAATTGATGAAATTCGAACCAACACTGCAAATTCACAACAAATGGATCCACCCAGTACCATGCACCCATTTCAACCAGATTTAAGATGACTCAAAAATCACCCTCCAGAATTAATTATTGGGAATATCCATGAAGGCGTGAAAACAAGATCATCTACCATGGAAGCATTGTTCACGTGTTATCTATCTCAGATTGAACCAAAAGAAATTGACGAAGCTCTCAATGATCCGGATTGGATAAATGCTATGCAAGAGGAGCTCGATCAATTCAAAAGAAATGATGTTTGGGAACTTGTTCCAAGACCGCCGAACCACAATGTTGTAGGAACCAAATGGGTCTTCCGGAACAAAGCAAACGAAGAAGGCGTGATTGTTAGGAATAAAGCAAGGCTCGTTGCAGAAGGAATAGATTTTGATGAAACCTTTGCACCGGTGGCCCGACTTGAAGCAATCAGAATTTTCCTAGCCTACGCCGCACACAAAGATTTCACTGTTTATCAAATGGACGTGAAAAGCGCATTCTTGAATGGTCTACTCGAAGAAGAAGTTTATGTCGAACAACCCCCAGGTTTTGAGGTAAAAGGCGAAGGTAATAAAGTCTACAAACTTAAAAAGGCATTGTATGGGTTGAAACAAGCACCTAGAGCTTGGTATGATACTTTGTCAATGTTCTTGATAAGCTGTGGATTCACCAAAGGCCTTGTTGACAAAACTTTATTTAGAATTCAAGATGGTGATCATATTTTATTAGTGCAAATATATGTTGATGATATTATTTTTGGAAGCACTAACAATTCTTTGTGTGAGAAATTTTCGAAGCTTATGCAGAATAAATTCGAAATGAGCATGATGGGTGAATTGAATTACTTCTTGGGCTTACAAGTCAAACAACTGAAAGAAGGAGTATTCATCAATCAAGCAAAGTACACCCGCGACTTGATAAAGAAGTTTCGCCTTGATGGAAAATCATCGATCAAAATTCCAATGAGCACATCAATAAGGCTAGACAAAGATGAAGATGGAAAGGATGTCGATCAAACAAAATATAGAGGAATGATTGGTTCACTTCTATATCTTACTGCAAGCAGGCCGGACATTTCTTATGCTGTGGGAGTGTGTGCAAGATTCCAAGCAAATCCAAAAGAAAGCCACCTCACCGCAACAAAGAAGATCATACGATATTTGAAAGGCACAATCAATGTTGGATTGTGGTATCCAAAAGGTACAAATTTTACTCTAACGGGTTTTTCAGATGCGGATTTTGCAGGTTGCAAAATAGACAGAAAAAGCACTTCCGGGACATGCCAGTTCTTGGGGGGAAGGCTTGTTTCTTAGTTCAGCAAAAAGCAAAATTCCATCGCAACTAGTACCGCCGAGGCCGAATATATTGCTGCAGGAAGTTGTTGTGCGCAAATTTTGTGGATGAAGCAACAATTGAAGGATTACGGAGTTAACTGTGATGACGTTAGTATTTATTGTGATAATACTAGTGCAATCGCTATCACTCACAATCCGGTGCTTCACTCAAGAACCAAACATATCGACATTCGACATCATTTTATAAGGGATCACGTTGAAAAGAAAAATCTGAAGATCGAATATATCCCTACAGAAAACCAAGTTGCTGATATTCTCACGAAGCCTTTATGCGAAACGAGATTTTCTACCTTAAGGCACGAGTTGGGAATGATCGAAATGAGCTAAGTATCACTGAACTTAAACTCTCTATTTAAATTGATACTTGTGCTCAAAATTAATTGTTTTACGTGGATAAATTGTTTTATGTGTTTCTATGCATGTTTTTATTCGAAATATTTATGTGATAAAATTGCAATATGTGTTAGGAATTTATTTGTGTATTTGCATGTATTATTTAACGTGAGATCATATGCCATGCAAATTAATTTGATAAAATGTGCAATTCGTGATTTATTTGATAATTTGTATAAAATTGCATGTTTTAATGTGTCAATCAGTTTTTGAGTATGTGTTCATGTTTCTGTAAATTAACTAACTTGTTTGCATGAACAATTTGCTCTAAAAATGATTTACCGTGTTTATTTAATATATGTGCTATGTGCAAAATGTGATTTAATATGTTATTTGTATGTGTGTCTCGTATATATGCAGTATATGTGATATAAATTGCTATAAAATGTTTTAGAAATCTAGAAATTAGTATTTTTGTTAGTTTCTAAAATATTTTGGAATCTGATTAATATGTTTTTTTTATAAAGCTGTTTCTAATTATAATTTAGGAATATGTGTGTTAATTTTGTTAGTTTCCAAAATATGTTTAATTTTTGATTGGAAATTACCCTGTATGAGTTTAATATAATTGGTATGTGTGATTAATTATTTGTGGAATAATTTTTGCTACTAACGAGATGTTTGAGTGTGTTTATATCTGTGGTACACGATTTTGAGAAGAAAATCAGGAGACAAAGGAGGAAAATTAGAGTTTAATTGGACATCAAACATCCACCCACAAACTCCTACCCTTTCTAAACCTCCACCCAACCTAAACCTCCCCCCATAATCCTCTCCTATATCAGCATCCTTCCCAACCAATTCGTTCTCACTCAAATCGTCACCCTAATCCCTAATTAAATCTCCTAGAAACCGCTACCCATCACATCCACCGCTTTCTCGACCAATGAAGAGTCACGAAAGCACTCATCACACCTCTTGAAACCAAACGTCAGCTATATCCAGAGAAAACCTTTCAACCTCTTCATCATTAGGACACACGGTTCTAGCACCTTCCTAGGCCTATAAATTAGGACCTGAAGCAAACGAGTAGTAATAGTAGTAGTATCTTGTTAAATTTTGAATTATGAAAAATTTTGAATTATGAAGAAAAAAAAAAGACTTGCAATTTACACCTTTTAATTTCTATGAGGGCATTAAGTAATTGATGTAATATAACCTTCAACCAAACAAGTTAATGTTACATTCCTACAACTTTAACCAAACACATCAGGTAATCTTATATTCCCAAAATCTCACATTACTTACCCCAGGTAATCATATAACCTGGGGTAATCAAAGATTCCGTGAACCAAACGCCCCCTAAGAGCTAAGATGAAATGGATGGGTGAGATGAAAGCAAGGATACTTACTGTGTTTTTCTTCTTCTTCTTCTACAAAGCTAGATTTTTGGAGTGGAGAGGCAAAGGAGAGGATAAGAGAAATCAATGGAATAGTGTTGTTTAAATAGGATTCAAAACCCTAGGTTGCAAATGATTGGTTGGTGAGGGTAGAAAGGTAATTTGCTTGCTCTAAAATATCATATAATGGCTTTGGCTTGTAGAATTCATCAGGGTCCATCTTGCAACATAGACCAAAGTCTTAAAAATAATTTTAGACAATTTGGGATCAAAAATAGATTTTCTAAAAGATAGCTTCTAATTAAAACACTTGATTCAGGTTCCACATGTTTCTATCAGGTTTCACTCAGATTGACTTTTTGGGTCAAAATTTGGTACACAAATGTACCCGAAATTTAAGATTTTTAAAATAGGATAAATCTTGGTGTTGAATCGATTTAAAAACTCGATTTAAAATATTTAATTCATACATCCTTTTTGAAAAAAAAAAAAAAAATTGAAAGAGTGAAAATAAATATTTTGAAATTTTATAAAATAGGATTTAGGAAAAATATTTAAGTCGGACCATTGGATTCCAACTTTTGTTTTTGTTTTTTTGTTTCGCATGTTTAAATGTTTTTTTATTAATGTTTACAATGGTAAGCTCACTCAAAAGTATAGAGATATAATGAAGAATAAGTACCCATACAAATCAATAATTAAATACTTAAATACTGCTCAACTAGTGCTTTGTATACATAGAATGGAATGCAATGGATATTCATTTTTGAGCTTCTAATCAATTCATCCGTGCCTACAAATGAATAAAAACAAATTCATTAGTCACACTAACTTATAAAACCATAGACAATTCTATGATTATTTGTTTACCTGTGGTGTCGAGTTCCGGTTCCACACACCGTCGATCGTGTTTGTCTTGTAGACCTTCGTGGAGGTGGCTGCTCCTCTTCAACAGGCCCAATCGACTGTTCAATGGATGGAAAAACGTTGTCACCACCTAAATGCGACGATGATGGGATTCCCAATTGTAAATCCGTAATTGGGTGCTCCATGGGATAAGCATTGAATAACGGTCGAGGATGTTGATATTGATTATAGGGTAGAGCATGGAACAACTAAAAGGAGGAACCAGCCTATGTCGGATCATACATCGCACTAGATGGGGTGTTATATGTGGCTGCACCCGACCCATAACCACTAGCACCTGCGAATCCAAATCCACTCATTTGGGATCCTGACGCGAAATGGGCGAACCCAGTGCATTCGCCCCCTTAATTCGTTCCACTACTCTGCCCGTAATCAAATCTATCACGTTTAGGTGAACGGTCCCTAACAACAATTTGCAATGCCCCCTCATCATTACTCCCATCGTCATCTTCATTCTCATCCTCAAGCAAAACCTCGTCCTCGTCCTCATCCTCATCCTCATCCGCCTCCGCCTCTTGTTGAGCAGCTGCAACGAATTCCGCCTGTCTTTGAATATTCACGGCGCGCCTACTTCGACCGCCGATTGCTGGACCACCACGCCTGTTTGGCCTGTCTCGACGACGATCTGCAGCCGGAGGGCCAAATGGTTCATCCGGCATCGGAGCCCCAAAATACTGCTCAGGCGTCATGTGCAAAAGGAACTCGTAGTCCGTATCAACCAACATGTCAATACAATTCTGTTGAATATCCCTAAGGTGTTGGTCACGATCGGCATCAGGATTGTTAAGGACTTCACTGACATCTAACCTCAACCGGTTGAATGCGTGCATCTACATTTAATCAAATACGTCACCATGTATTACAAACAAAATATAAAAAAAGTAAATCTCTTCCAATGATTGCAAAACATTTGTAATATACTAACCGCCTCGTTGAGTGACGCTGCACACTGCACGAATCCCTCGTTTTTGTAATGCATTGGGTTACCAATAAGACGCCGACCATGCAAGTAGTACCATGCCCGGTACTCAGGCACCGACTGCGGTCGATCGGTTATAGTCATGTTGACGACCCAATTATAACGCTCATTCCAACGGCCCACGTGTTCTCCATGCTTTTGTAACCAATCAGTTCCTGACTTCCCCCGTTGGTCCATATTGTGCAACCGTTGGTCGTATACCACATCTGGCGGCACAACCTGCAACCCATTGAACTGCCTGCAGAACCGCACAGGGTGGTGATATTCCACCACGTGGTAGAAAATTAGCGGAATTTTGGCAGTCCATAACCTCCTCCCCGCTTTGCAATATGGGGGCAAGTCATCAAGGTAGTCAACATACGGAGTGAAAATAAACTGCATACAAAATATTAATCTCACGATGTTAACATAAATTACGTGGTGTATAAAATTTGAACTCACTAAAAAACATTATACGTAATAGCGGTAAAATTACGTACTCTCCGTTCCGATGCGTGATCTAATTGATCGCGATAGGCTACGGTAGTGTGGCTAGGCACTGTTAGCCAAGTGTGCCGACAAACCCACCTACAACAATTGCAAAGTCAATAAATACTACTACTTGAACGATAAAACATTGATGCAGTCAATTTAGAGATCGTTACCTATATGCAATAGGGTAATCAGCGATTTTATCGCGCGGCAAAACACCACTCGGCCTTACCATAGGCAGCCTCTCCCATGCCCAAATCTGCACTAGAAGAAGACACCCAAAAACTGTACGTTTGCCGTGTTCGGAAGCTCTACACAACGCCCTATATAGATATCCCAAAACAGCCGAACCCCAGCAAAATTCGGCACAAACATAGAGATTCCTAATATAAGGTAGGAAGTATAATTTATATTTCCCCTTTGTTGTGTCAGGAAATAAAAAACCGTTTAACAAATGAAATATTAAACGCCGTGTTGCCAACAAGACGTCTTCTTCTCCGCTCTCTGCTGTAAGAGCTTGAACCTCCGGTACAACACACCCGTTAATCATTGTACTTGTCATGAACTGTACCGTAGGCTCAAATCCCAGTAACTCTTTGCACATTACCTTTACTTGTTGCTTAGTGCCAATTGTATCCTGCCCCGACACTAAAAAACCGTCAACTTTGAGGCCAAATAGCACTTCTACATCTTGAAGTGTTATTCCTACCTCACCGAAGGGCATGTGAAAAGCGTGGACCTCCGGCCTCCATCGCTCTAAAAGGGCGGTAATAAGCGCATGGTCCAACTGTATTTTTGTGAGCTGAGAAATACCGTAGAATCCCGAAATACGCAGCCACTCTTTGACTCTTTCATCATCAACGGCTGCACACCTCGTTACGGTATCATACTTAACCGCTTTTAGTTGGACGTCATAATTAGGATCCGTCCAAATAGCTCTACTTCGGTGACGGGTTTGAAACGTTAGCAAATTTTGGTTCAGTGGCCCGGGGTGTACTCGTTGGTTTGCCATAACTGTATCAAAACAAATCATAATACTTAAAAACTAAAAACAATAAAACTAATAATCTCACTCCGTTCATTTGTTTTGGTTTTCTACTTAGACATCAAAGTCGAACTTGGGAAGTCCGAATTTATTTCTATTAACAAAATAAAAAAAACCGGACTTCTATACTCCCATTTTAGTCGGATATTTCCCAAAAAAATAACATCAAAGTCCCGACTTTGATTTTTTTTTTTTTTTTTTTTGTAACAAAAAAAAAACAAAATATAAACTATTTTTAAAAAAACTATTCGGATATTTCCTAAAAATAAATAAAATAAATAAAATAAAACATCAATACTCCTACTTTGATGTAGTTACTAATACTCTTTTTTAAGTCAGTACTCAGTAGCAACTAGCAACTCAAAAAAAATTACAGCAGCTAGATACAAAAATTTTTAGTTCTTACTGTATTAAATAAATTTCATTACTTTAACATAATTAAACAAAGAACATTAAATAATAATGAAATAGTAGTATCTTCCATACCTAGTCCAAGCCATTGTATTAAAAATTTTCAGACAATAATACCAAAATCCTTAAGATAGGTCAACATAATTGACATGACTAATGCACATGTATAGAAATTCAAAGACATCTACTCTCTAATCTGTATTTCATAGTAAAAAATGAGAGGTGCAAGTAACTACTATACAAGAATGAATCCACCATATTGTATAATTAAGTACTATACGGGCGCAAACAAAATAAATTATATGCATTTATTTATTTTTAATTAAGTGTAAATAGATTATACAAGACATCAAAGTCGGACTTGAAAAGTCCAAATTTTTTCCTAAAACAAAGAAATGATATGTTACAGTGAGATATAATATATATAAAAAAAACATCATAACGAAATAAATAATTTATTAACTCAAATATAAAATTATTTAAATAACTATTCAAACATTTGTTTGAAGAGGATTTCTTGTTTACCTGAAGATGAAGATGTGTAGAGAAGAGAAATGACTAATGAGAGCTTTTCAAATGAACTTCTGCCTCCAAATGAAAAATTTTGGTGAATACTTGAGTTGGGGTATTCTGACTTGGTTCACTCTTTCAATATATGCTGGAAAGATGAGGAGGTCAAGTGAAGGTGGGTAGATGAAAAGAAATTCCTGCCTTTATTCATATCTGAAAAAAAAAAAAAAAAAAAAAAAAAAAAAAAAAAAAAAAAAAAGTTGATTGGGAAGAGCACCTTTCACATCAAAACAGAAGGTAAAAAAAAATGTTTTTTTTTTTTGGTAAAAGGTAAAAAAAAATGTTGAAGATTCGGTCTTGTGGAGATTTGAAAATTCCGGATGGAGACAAATTTATTGGTATGTCAAAAAGAAAAAGTGGTTGGGAAGGAGCACAAGTCTAGTCAAAACAGAAAAAAGAAAAACAATTAGAGATTTAGAGAGAGTCGGTCTCCCGAAAGACGTATCTGGAGCTGAAGAAAAGTGAAGAAGAAAAGAAGAAAAGTGAAAAAGACAAGTGATGCCTGCTGGAATTAAATAAAGGATTTCTTCCACTGTTTTGCACTGTTCAGTAAAAGTAAACAAGAAAAGAAGAAAAGTGATGCCTCCAGCAATGGAATAAGCAAGTACCAATTTTGGTTCTACACTATTAACAAAATGATTTTAGTTCATATGTTTAATTCCTACTTATTTTCACCAACAACTATTATTTTCGTACCAATTTTTATTTATGATTATTATTTTAATAGTAAAATTCATCTTTTCGGACACTCATATGTTAAAGATATGCTAAAATATAAAATTATTAAAAGTATCTTTGTCTTTTCAAAGTAAAGTCCCAATTTGAGCATAAATAAAAGAATTTAAGCTCTAAGATCGATCTTAATTCACAGTTCTCCTTCTCCAATTAAGGTAGGATTGGGAGGAGAATTGTTTTATATATATATATATATATATTAGAGGACATATTTTAAGAAATATAATTAGAAAAAGTGTCAAATAGGCTACTCAACTTTAATATATGGTGTAATTAAACCATCGAATAAAAATATGTATAATTGAACTACTAAAAACTCAAAATTTGAGTTAATTTACTTCCAAATTTCCCTTAAATATGATGTCATAATGTCAATTATATATTAAAAAAAAAAACCTTTCAATCATTTTTAAAAAATAAAAATAAAAAATTCAATACATTAATTATATTCAAGTTATGACGAACTTTTAATTTTTACACTTTGAGCTTGCGAAAGCTCCAAGAATAAGAAGTAGCATAAGAGCAATAGAGCATCCACAATAAAGCATAATATGGGGTTAATGTAAGATGAAATAAATTGGGTGGGGTTATTTATAAATGTGGGGTGGGGTTAATTAAGAAATTATTTCTCCTACAAAGTATGAAAATAATGTCAAAAAATTAAAAAAATAAAAATAAAAATAAAAAAGCAACACAGGTTGTGCGCGTTCCCCCTGTGGCTACACGGACACGTGCAGTGCACGCGCCGGTGTGACGCGTCAGGTGCCCTAACAGCGCTCCTGACGCTTCATTTATTTATTTTTTTTTAAAAAAAAAAATTCAGTTTTGTTATTTTTTTTCTTTCTTTTTTCTCTCCCCTCCCATCTTCTCTTTCATAATCACTCTTACAATATCCCCATAATATTCCCAACTGATAATGATGCTCTAAGTGAGAATAGTATACTTGTACGATATGATCTCAATCGTTATATCGTGCACCAGGCGCACAATGCATTGTGCGCCCCGCCCTGTCCAAAACGACGTCGTTCTGTTATGATGTGTGGGGAGTCAACGTGATAGAGTTGATGTGTATTATGTTATTCAATTATGTACATTCTATTATACAATTATATACATTCGAACACTTGAGATGTTTTTAAGAGTTAGGAGTTTATGTGTATTATGTATGTTAAGAGTTTATGTGTGTTATATTAAGAGTTTATGTGTATTATATATTATGTTAGATTATGTGTATTATCCTTTCAGAAAAGTTTTTGTGTATTCTATTATACAATTATGTACATTCGAAACATGGATTTTTTTTTTAAGAAGTTAACAGCAGACACGAAAACGTGATTTAAAAAAAAAAAAAAAAAAAAAAAAAAAAAAAAAGTATGCCAAGGACCTTGTGGTCCAATGGCACCAAGTTATTTCCTAAGTGGGAGGTTGTGGGATCAAGCCTTAGTGTAGGCAATATTGGCTTTTGTGCTTCAATTGGTTGAGAAATTAAAGTAGTTATGCAATCGTTATGCTGTGCATCCGGTTGCACCGTACTTGGTGCATCCGGATCCACACGACGTCGTTTAGGGAGTAACGGTGCCGTTAGTGGCACCGTTTCACTCCACCAATCAGATATTTTTTTTTTTTTAAATATAAAACAATGCTCCTTCGTTTCTTCTCCACTGCATTTCACTTCCCGCACTCCATTCCTTCTCCAACACGATACCCTCCGTAAACGCTTCAATCATCTCCATTTCCTTACCATTTCTTTAGCATTTTCTAGCTTTCAAACACACTCGTCGTCGCTATTGTCGCCGGCGTCCAATCATCGCGTATTCAACAGCGCTTTCTCTGTAAACCAGAGCTCATCATCATCCTATAACAGGTATAAATGCATTTTACGTTGATACATAATGCATTTACACAAAACAAGCATTCATTTTGAGTATATATTTATGAAATTTTAAACTAGGGTTTTATACTGTTTAATCTTGTATGAATGTATAGTTATTTGATTATTAACGTGTATGGTTATGATTATGGGTTTATGAGTATATTTATAAGTTTATGGAACTGTAGTTTTACAATTTTGGAAGTATAGTTGTACATTTATGGAATTGTAGACATACAGTTTTGGGTGTAGTACTCTGTTAACCTTACTCTGTGCACCAAACTGCATCCATGCCTTCTTAACATAATTTGCTTTGTGCGTATACTTATGGAATTGTAGTTTTACAATTTTGGAAATATAGTTGTGCGTTTATGGAATTGTAGTTATAGAGTTTTGGATGTAGTACTCTGTGAACCTTACTCTGTGCACCAAACTGCATCAATGCCTTTTTAGCATAATTTGCCTTGTAGGTATGCTTATGGAATTGTAATTGTACAATTTTGGAAGTATAATTGTGCGTTTATGGAATTATAGTTATACAGTTTTGGATGTATTACTCTGTGAACCTTACTCTGTGCACCAAATTGCATTCAAATCCTTTTTAGCATAACTTGCCTTGTGGTATACTTATGAGATTATGGAATTGTAGTTTTACAATTCTGGAAGTATAGTTGTGTGTTTATGGAATTGTAGTTATGAAGTTTTGGATATAGTACTCTGTTAACCTCACTTGATGTTTTTTATTTGCAGAAATGGATCAGTCAGGTGTGGCAGATGATTCTACACTTGGTCAATTTGTGAAGTCTGTAAAAAAGAGAACAACCAGAGCAGTATTGAGCTCACAAGCTGCTGAACTCACCCCTGCCCAGGAAGATCAAGCAGAGCCTTCGACAAGGCAACAACCAGCAGCTGTAAAAAGAAAGAGGGCACCACCACAAAAGCGAGAGAGAGTACGGGACCCTGATGTGAACTACTTCAGTACACGAATGGGTCCCAAGCAAATGTATGACCTTGTCCAGCGTCTAACACATGACCAAAAGGATGCTGTGATTGATATGGGTTTTGGAGGGCTGCTGCACCTACAATTTTCAAGCAATTACTCACAACTTGTTGAGTATCTCCTGCAAAGGTTTGATGTTTTCAAATCAGACTTCATATTGGATGGTGACCATCTACATGTCGGTGAAGAGGATGTTGAATACATCTTGGGACTCCCCCGGGGGAAGAGAGATGTTGAGGAAGGTACAAAGAGTGAGGAAAATTCTACAGCTGCATATAATAAGGTCCTGACTGAGTGGAGGAAAAGATGGAATGTCAGGTCAGGGTCACCCATAACAACAAAGATGCCTGATGAAATAATCAGGAGAGGTGACCATGGAGATGCCTTCAAGAGAGACTTTGTGGTGTTTGCTGTCTCATCTCTGCTCCGGGGAAATACTGGAAGATATGCCAACTATCGAGTTATCAAGTCATTGCTCAACATCCGGTCAATCTCAAGACTTAATTGGTGCAAGTACACGTACAATTCTTTAATTGATTCGTATGACATTTACAAAGACTCTCCTACCAGATCCTTTGGAGGTCCAATGGTATTCATCCTGGTAATATCCCATTATACATAAAATGTTCTAATTATGTAATTATATTCATGCAATTATGGAATCATAGATATGCAATTCTGTATGTGTGGTTATACCCTTATGGATGTGTAGTTTTGTAATTGTGGAATTGTGGTTTTCCAATTATGGACTAATAGTTTTACAATTATGGAATTATAGTTAATCAATTATAGATGTGTAGTTTATGGATTATGGAATTATAGTCATCCAATTATGGAATTATAGTTATGCAATTATGGAATTATAGATATGCAATTCTGGATATCTAGTTTTATAATTATGGAATTATAGTTATGCAATTATGGAATTATAGATATGCAATTCTGAATATGTAGTTATTCAATTCCTTAACATACTCTTCTGTACTTCTTGAAGCTCTTCTACTTTGACCGAGTACAGTTCAGAGGCATGACCGTCAACCGCACATTCCCAGCAATAAAAGCTTGGACAAAAAGCCTTGTACGCAAGCGAGTATCGGCTGAGATAAAATCAGGGGGTTTTGGTAAAGGCAAAGTTATCCCTCGGTTTCAGAGACCTACTGCCATTGCATCTACATCATCACCCCGACCTGCACCTCCTCCTGCTGCAATACCAAGGCCAGTGTCCAGCCCTGCTGCTACACTAACTATTCCAGCTCCATCTGTGCCTCTGACAAATGTTGACCGAGTAACAAATGTGCTTCAACGGCTTACAGCAGATGTCTTTGAGTTCGGTCAGGTCATGTCTGACATTGGCAAGCAAGGGGCCCCGGTTGAAATCATGAAGAGGGCTTTTTCAGGAATATCAACAATGCTGAGTGCTGCAAGCACAATTCAACCGACTCCTAGCCCAACTGCCTCGCAATTGGATGACATCTTCTTCGGAAGTGAGAGCTTCAC